CCGCCACTGTCATCATGACTGAAGAGTGTTGCCATTCAGCTGCTGGTACCATGTTCGCACAAAATTTGGCAACCAAGTCTGCAGTCTGCGGCGAAAAGTCTGAGTTGCAGACTGCCTGGATCGGACTTTATATAAGCCATAAGCCATAGTGTGGAAGCGACCTGATCATGGGTTTCCCAAGGACTGACATGGTGTAGTGAAAACATGACGGACCATGTCTTGCCGGACCATGACGTGACCGGTTTGCGGGCACCGCGTGGAAAGCGCCTTTCTCAGGTTTTTGAGCACGCAAGGTGTGCAACCGACGTGGATGACACGGCGAGTGAAAACACTGAAGAAATGCCGGTGGCAACATGTTTGGGCCGTTTGAAGATGCAGGTCTGCTTTCATTTTGGCAAGTGATTTTTCGACCTCAGCCACAAGACAGTCTGACGGAAACATTGGATTGAGTCCTCCTCTCGCGTCTTGAAAACCAACAGTGAAGACACCAAGACTTCATGGTCCACCAAAGGCTCCATTGCCTCACCGCCTAACCACGCATACAGTAGTCTGAACCGCACAACACCAGGCAACCAACAAGTTTTCTCAGTGCTTACACTTGATGCATGTTTCCAAAACTATCAAGCACTTGTACTTTGCTTGTATAACTTAAAACAGTCATAGCGTGGCGAAGCCACATGAAACAATACCAGGCGCGGTTCGCGAGCTTTATGGGAACCAAATTTGACGGAACTGGTTCCCACAGCAATAGCAATAAAGGTGAAAGCTCACCTCGTGTAAACTCACACGTTGCCAGAGCACATGCCGGGCTTTACGCAGTGCAGTGGTCTATGATATTGTAGACCGTTGTATGGTTAGATGCTTGATGAGGTGCAAAAGGTACTTCCGGAAACGTGTCGGGTAATGAGGCCCCCGACACAAGCCTGCACCTTCCATGGGAAGCTGGAGGAAGAAGCGGAAGAAATGGAAGAAGTGTGTGTGCACGAGTGCTTTGTGGGAGGTTCAGCAACCTCTCGAGCGTTTTCTGGTTAATCGAGCACATTTGGGAATCTTAAGTAGTAACAATACATCACGAGCAAAAAAAAAACTCGTTCAAAAATAAATGCTACAGTGGAAGGCGCCGGATAGGATGGTACAACACTTGAGTCTAGTCTAGTATGTGAATATCACCAGCTGCCTGGCTGTTTCACCATAGCTCCCGGAGAGATTGATGGGCAATTTGCTGGTCTTCATTGATATACCACTTCTGCTTGGGCCCTTCATGTCTGGCACCTTCTGACGCACAAACACCACACCAACTCTATGGACTATAGTTGTTGTGATTGGCAGCAACCGGACTTTCCTAAGCCTACAGGTTTTAATCTGGCCAGGTGATTCCTCAATTTGGAAAGCAAACGCAGCTGAAGAAGACCCTGCAACTTCGTGGTCCGCCACTGTCGTCATGACTGAAGAGTGTTGCCATTCAGCTGCTGGTACGATGTCCGCACAAAACTTGGCAACCAACCAAGTCTGCGGCGAAAAGTCTGAGTTGCTCGCAGACTGCCTGGATCGGGCTTTACGTTAAGGAAGCCATAGTGTGGAAACGACCCATTCGTGCAATTGGTTATCAGCGGCGAGGAACCTTCACTGACTCCCTCACTTCCCCTGGAAAGAAAACCCTAAACTTCCAAAGTCTTGGAAAATCTAAGTTTTGGGGCAAAGACTTAAACTGGGAACGAAAGGCTTAACCGAGTTGCTGTATGTGACCTTTCCTGGAACCTATATATATATATGTCATGTTGAAGTGATCTGAGCAGCACCAAATAAAGCTTCAACCCATGTTTTCGCATGTGCATGTACATAGTCTCAAATCGTCAAGCCGTTTTCCAATCCTTTCACCGGGCACGATGACAATCTGTTCATCCTTTGTGTGGACTTTTTTCGTGGACAGTGCTGTGTAAAACATGTTTCAAGTGAATTCTCAGGGGTGGTGGTGTCCACGACCTTTCTAAGTCTTTCCACAACTTTTTTAAGTCGTTCCATGCCTTTTTCAAGTCGTTCCACGGTTTGTCCATGGTCAGTCCACTGTTCATTTGGTCCGAATGGGCAAGAAGATCCGCACGCGTCACGGATACAAACATGCGATTAGAATAAATCCACTCTGTGCAGTAGCAATGAAAAATGAATTGACAATAAATGTGTTGAATTTAACTTATTTAACCGTAATTATGTTCCATGCACTGTTGATTCCTGGCTTTCAGACCCCGTGCTACCATCCAAAGGGGATCGTGTCGCGGTATGTCTAAACGGTACACTTTTAAGTCTAGGCTCCAAATCTAAGTTGAACTTAAGACAATTAAGTCTTGGACACATAGGGAAAAGGTTATATAACCTTTTTCAATCCGTGTGTTCAGTATCTCAGCCTCATGAAAGGGACACGCCGCTGCAAGCTGCGTTCCTCGGCTGCATGCTTGGAGGCTTGCTTCTGCTGCGTGCCTCTGTTTTGCTAAAGGGTCGAAGCAAAAAAACATTCAAAGACCCTTCCTGCACCAGTAAAACCATAATTGATGGTGGGCTGTGTCCCAGTCCTTCCCGTCATTGATGTTACTGAACGAAAAGCATTGCAAATCGCTAATTGTAGCCACATCATTACGGTCTGCCGGGGTCTTAACCGGCATGGAGACGTTCTAGAGAATGGTGCCCCTTTTGAGGTGATCAAGCAGCTACATCCAGTCCAGGCCCCTGAGCCAACCAATTGTGATACCAAATGCTCGATCGATATTGCCCTGCGCGAGCATGTCACATGTGTGGTAGCGTTGTGACATTGCCTTAGAGCCCAGCTCCCATGGCGCATCGAAAGAACCTCCACGAGGATCAGGGTGGTCGTCCAGCTACACCCACCGGGCCGCGCCGTGTGCTGGCGAGCTGGCGGCCCACTCGGGCGACCCGTGCAACCTTGATGCAATCTCGTCGTCCAAACACAACCGATCAGTTACTGAGTCCAAGCACTTGCGAACGGAGGGGGTGTGCCTCGTCACACCTCGCGGCGAAAACACACCTCGTCTATAGCGGTGTCAAAAGCCGGTCATGACTTGCTTCCGCCAATGCTTGCGCAGCGCGGAGCTTCCGCGACTATTTCTCAAATGGCTTCCGCGGGCCATGTTTGGTTCAAATCCTCTTCCGCGGCGCTTCCGCGACGTATTTCTCAAAAGTGCTCATAGGTTAGATAGACCTCCTTAGGCATCTACTGATGTCAAGAAGATCAAACATGCACCTTCGCAAAGCTTCAGCGCTTGTGAATTTGACCGTATAATTACTTACGCGGTGGCTTCCGGCTTCGCTTCCACGCCAGTTTTGGGCCTCCAGGGGGCCAGGTTTGGAGTCTACTAAGTGTGTTTTAAACTGTACATGACGAGGTCTTTGATGCTCACATGCCACGTATTGGGTGGAGGTCTTTCGCTCCTTCATCCGTTGACTTCTGGCGGCGTCAGTTCCAGACGCGGTGCGCCCGTTCCGTGCGCTCAGTGGTGTCACTAAGTGGATTCAGCATGGACTGGCCAGGTCACTTGGCCAGGTCTTCCCGGTATGTCGAATCGGTTTCGAATCGGTTCGAGAACTCCAAGACATTCGGACAATTCAAGAGATCTATGTCGCTACGTCACAACTCCAGGCAGCACCGGACTCGCTGTTGAGCCTTGGGATCTGAAGTTGCAGAATGAGGATCTCCGCCACGAGTCGCACCTCCGACATGAACATGCTTGACATCTGCTGTGTGTGCTCAAGGCCCTGTACAAAATGAACATGCTCAAGGCCCTGTTCAGTCTCTTGGGTAGTAGGCTTAGGTGATTACAATGGAATTTCAACACCTCCTAGCTGCCCTATATAGCTTCTTCAAACCCCAATGGACACGTTGGACGACCTGAAAAGCGTGTGACCAAACCAATTGGCTCTAGGTAAATTGCAGATCAGAACATACAGGAATTCAATTAACACCTTTTTATGAATGTTTGGTGATTGAGAGTCCTGTGGGAACCTTCTTTGACCCCATGAATTCCCACCACTGAAGACAAACACCACATTCTGACACAGCTTGCACTGCTTAAGCCGAAACACAGCAGCACAAAAGCTTGAGCAAACCAAAGGACCACAAGGTATTGAACCACTCACTTGGATCCCTTGCTGGCCCTTCTCCCAACATGTTGATCAACTGTTGATCCTCCAAAAACTAGCAATGGGAGTCCATTTGGATAATATCACAAAGCCTGCTGCTGATCCTCCAAAAACAATAGCAATAGCACGAACACATGAATTTCAGGACATGTTTCAGGCTCTACAGAATGTATTCAATGTATTCTTGAATGCCCCCCCCTCCGCATCATAAACGCATGTTTGACATGTTTCTACTGGGTTTCTGATGATTTCTGATAAGATTTCTGATGATTCTGTAGACGCTTAAGCAAGATCACAGTGGCATCTGAGATTCCATGAGGTTTTGCTGTGGCCTATCAAAGGGTCGACGCAGTTCGCGCTTAGAGTCACGCCGTTCTATGGAAGGATGAGCCAGGGTAGGACGAGCCCAATGGGAGAAACGTGGGTGCTTTGTGGCTACCTGTACGCAATTTTGCCTTTAAAACGTTGTCTTTTAAACGGTCTTACCAAATTCCCATGGGCAAGAGTCACATGTCGGGGTGGTGTCGAGTCCCCAAATGTGGATATATATGGGCACCACGAACCTCCATGGATCGCAGCTCATCGACTCATCGGCTCTTACATCAAGTCTCCCACCGACGTCGTCCCACCCGACAGCACATATATGTCCACAGACGGTCGGACCGAGCTGCTCAGGAGCAGCTCGGGCTCCCTCCCGTTTGGGCTCCTGGCCTTTCTACCTCCGTTTTCGAAGATGGGACAGGGGTGGGTGCCAGCGAGGTCTAAGCACCGAAGCTGAAAACATGGGACAGGAGCCCTAGGGTCTCATCGCGCTGTAAGCAATGCATGTGCTGCTCCCCGCCGGTTTCGGCCTTCCACTTCCTCGAGCTCCAGGGGCCATGGAAGGCCATAGCACTCGACCAGCTGCAAAGCAATCCATGACTGCGGTCCTCCGACGCTGAGGGCACGGGCTTCCCCAAACACGGGGACCGGCATATATGGACCGAATTCAGTTGGAGGCTTTTGATGGCACCAATTGCACACGTGTTTTTTGATGCCATGGCGCCTCTCCTGAAATGCAATCCTCTCCTGAATCCTCACTTGTAGGCGACAACGTGCGGTGTCAAAGGCCAAACTGCTGTTGGTTTGCATATACCAGGACCCTCCAAAGTACCTTAGAAAACGGAACATGACCTCATAAAAATTCAGGTACTTGTACCCATTTTCCGAGGTACGTACTGAGACTCCAGGTGTGACCCCAAGCTGGTCGAGGAAGAAAATCATACAAACTCATACACGTGCGATGCCCAGACCATCCATGCCTTTTTTAATCCCCAAAAAACACATATCATTGAATTGCAATAATTATTGATGATTTATATTCCTGCCTGCGTGACCTCTATTTTGGACCTCCCACCGCCCCACATATGCCGTATTTCCTATCAAAAAGGTCACATCGACGATTTCACCAGCGCCACCCTGCTGGGTCGAGCCATCGAAGTGAACCCAAGAGAGCACCCCTGGTGCTCCTCTAACAAAAGGACTGGTGCCCACAAAGGTTCATCTAATTCCATTGTCGAACCCTGACTGAACACCTCTGGCTCCATCCAGCGTCTGCCCTTCCCCTAACCAAAAGGTACCACATGTGGACGCACCCAAGAGAGGTTAAGTGATCTTATAGGACCTTACTGGGGTACCTATGGGATAGTCTACAAGGTCCTTCAACCTCTGTTGGACTACAGTAGTTGCAGCCTCGGTCCGTACGCGAGTGTTGGGACTGGCAGGATGTCCTGTGAGGAGTTTCCAGACTTCTTGTGGCGAAGCCTGCAGCTCTGCACGTGCCAGGCTAGTGACCTGGGAACGCGGCGGAAGAAACAGTGAACAGTCCCTGAAATGGACATGGAAGTGGTCTTCCACTACATGTTACATCGTTTTACATGTTCCTCTACTAAGCAGGTGGACCGTGTCTCCACCACACACCATCAGTCTGTGCACGTTTCGTGCAGGCTCCTGAAGAACGCCAGTCAAGCGATGAATACCACCCTCCGACCTTCGGGGTGTCCTGGCTGGACTACTCCACACTACCAGCCTAGGCTTCCAGACAGGGCACCCCGACAGGAGGGTCCTGGTAGTATGGGTCATTCATTAGTATGGCTCAATTGTGTTCTAGCGAAGAAACCAAGCTTACAAAAGCTAGGCATGACGATTGTTCTTTACTCTGGTTCTACTTTCGGTGAGGGTACTTTGAAACAAACCCATCTCAAAGGACTGTACGAGTACTTCAGGGCACTCTTGATACACTCATAAGACTAAACACTAAAGACTAAACTTGACAAAGTATGCCCCTGCCCTGCACACTAAACGGATATATACGCATCATGCACCACTGAGCAATGAGACAACATGTGCCCTCGGATTTTTCCGCGCAACAAGACCCAAACGTAGAGCCTTGATGAATCAACCCGAATTCAGAGGTAGCCAGTGACCTGATATATAGGACCCGGAAAAACCTGTACGACATACTCCTGGGAAGGTCGAATTCTAGGGTTCTTCCAGCCACCTCTGTTGCTTTTAGCGAATTCTTCCTTCAACATCCCATCCAGACCCGGTCGACGAACTGGCACCTCCAGGCCGCGGGCAAAGGGGTTCCGCAGCAGAAACCCTAACCTGGGCACCCAGGTCTGCGGCGGTTTGGAAACGAAACGTTGAAATCCTTTAAGAAGCACCATATTTAGAAGCACCTCAGGCACCTCACTCAAGACAAGTTAGATGGTAAACGAAAAAGCCAAGTAGTTGCTATAAGTCTCCGCAAAGCCAAGTAGTTGCTGGTAGGGACCTGGAAAATGGACGCCGTGACGCCGAGATACGCCGAGCACGGCGCACCGCCTCAAAAACCGAAGAAGTTCGAAGAGGTGAACGTTCATCGTGAAACCTTGGGAAACCCAATGAAACCGAGTATTTTGTGCGCAGCTACGTCCGAAACCAACCGGTTTCAACCAGTCCGCAGCTGGTTTTTACTGTCCGCAGCTATTGGTAAACCTTGGTTTCACTTGGTTTCACTAAGACCTGCAACTCTTGCCCGTCCTTATAGGTCCCCTGTTCGGCTTCGCAGTGGCTGACCTGGACGACTTCTACAACCACGGGCTGACGCAGTCGCACCGGCTACGCGCTCGGCTGCGACTGGAGACGTTCGAAGGAAACAAACCAGTCGTGGACCAACTGCAAAAGGCAAACGGGCACCGTTGGAAGATTGAACTCCTAGAGGTTTCCCCAGTCGGTTTGTTTTTCTCCAGCCTTTACGTAAAAAGTTGTTTTTTGACACGAATTACGATCATTTATGGGCGTTTTGGACATTACAAGACATTCCAGGATGCAACTCTCCCAGTGCAAATCCATCCCAAATCACCAACAAACACATGCCTCATGCCTATGCCTGATTTCTGACTTGTGGCATGCTACCAACGAACGTATTCTTTTTCAGCAAACTACTAGCTGATGTTATTGGAAAAGCAAAGCACGCCATGGGTAGGTAGGTACCCCTCGTCCAAACACCCAGCAACTGGTCCAAACTTCTGGAACCCACAGGCGGTGCCGGGCCCAAGTCTGCTGGCTTGCCATCCTCCAAGGGCACCTGGACCACACTGTGAGTGAATGTAAAGGTGACCGACCCTCCCAGGTACGGTCCGTACGGTGATGTCTTCGACACTGTTGCCCGGTGCCAGCCAGTCGGGTCCAGTCGTACCGAACCTGAGGTTCGGTCGTACCCACTTCTGCCACCGAACCTCAGGTTCGGTACTGACCTGGCCCCGACCATGGCACCGACATACCAGTATCACCGTACCTGAGAAGGTACAAAAACGGATCCCTATGGAGTGTGGATCATATGTATCTCTGCCCGGAGCCTAAAGTTAAAGAGGACGGATTCGGAGGCAGTCTCCCAACTGAGTCTCCTCGTGGTGAAGGTGGTCGAGATTCTCGGTGTGTCAATGTGAGGAGATGGTACAAAGAATTTCTGGAATCATGACAGTTACGTGGAGTGAAAACCACCTGTTTTGGTATTCGGAAATTCTTTGAAAACTGTGCCTGGTTCGACCTGATATACAAGCACATGTCTCCCTAATGAGCCCAGTTGACCTCGAGTCTTATCGAGTCTTGATAGTTGAAATTGAGTTGGTGCTCCCAAATCTGAGGTTACTCAGTGCTCTAGGTCCGAAAACGGCGCCAACTCCTGGCGAGGATTGAACTTCCGGAACAGCCCGGATATGTTTAAAACTATATCCCAAACGCTCCATGTATGGAATATATGCCTACATTGACCCCTGAAGCCACCCCAATGTAGGCATATATGGCATACAGTGTCTGGGTATATGTTATATTTAGTTATAATGTCATGTTCTCTATTGCTTTCTTGGAACTGGTTTAGGCAAATGCTCGATGGTTTTGCAGAAATAATTTCGAGAGTACCTGGGTTCAAAACCCCCCAAAAAAAAAACCTAAACTGAACTAGGCGAACTCCCCACAGTTCCAGTTCACTGCAAATCCGAGGGTTCATGTTCCAACCATCTTCTACCGATTGCGAAGATCCATGGTGGCGCATTTCTATGGCCTACATGACTGCTGGTTTTTGGTGGTTTTCATGTAGGTCATATGGCTGTGGGTCAACACCCAAAGCCCTAATCCCTGGTAGTTGATAGATGTTGATAGTATGATATAGTATGTATGTATTTTGTATTTTCACTTCGTCTCTCATACCCGCTCACATGAGCAAGGGGTGCAACAAAAACTGCGTTCGCCCGCGAGTTCGAGCCGTAATCCCTGGTAGCTTGACCTCCCTTGTAGTCTGTTCTCTTCATCTTCAGGGCTCAACCTGTAACCAAATGGCAAGTACAGTACAGGTTATCAAAGCCACAGGGAGCAAAGCGCTCCAAAAAAAACGTTCGCAAGTCGTGCGAAACAAGGTTTCCCAGTTTTGACCCTATGGCGCCATCTTGTCGTCTGCGCCCCTCTGCTCTGCCGGCTAAGCGACTGCCGTCAGGGTGCCCTCCAGCAGCGCCGCTGGGCGGCGCGTGACACGAAGCTGCCGACGGCGGGGTCCTGGGTGGGCTAGCTGGAAGGCTGCGGGTGGGTCGATGGTACAACCAAAATCCGATCCCAAAGAGTGCATGCAACTGGAATGATTACAGTACCTAACTCAGTACCTATAGATTGGGTCCATGATCTTTGGAGGGTGTCCAGATCTTTGAAGGGTCAATGTAGGAAAAGATGCCATGCCCATGCCCCAAACGCTCCATCTATGATGCGAACCATGCGAACCAGGTCAACCCAGGTCACCCGGCCCCAGCTTCACGGCCTCCGCAGTTCGAGAGTTTTACAGGTTTTGACTCGGATTCGGTTGGCACAAGCCTCGGAAAGAACCGCACAACCTCAGTGGTTCTTGGACTTTGCCGGTGGAATCGGTGGAACCCTCATGGTTGGTGGTTGATCATGTTCCTCATCTAGTTGCCAGTTCTTTGATGATTCTGGATCATCAATATGTTGATCATCAATGGCTTGCAAGTTGAACACCTTGTCTCCGTGGGAATCTTGAAGATCACATCGTCAACAATGACATAGCCCGATGTAATCCTCAACTAGCCAGTCCAGGGCACTGACAAGGACCAGCAAAGCCACAGCAGTTGCAGGACGCCTGTCCAAGCGGCGTTTGTCTTTGATCAGCATTGTTGAAAGCGAAAACTCGTACATCACCAACACAATGCTTGTTATTCCAGGGTGCTTTGGCAATTGAACCTTGGAACATGTTTCTGCGCCTCTATTATATATACACACGATTGTAATTGCAACAAGCAAAACGTGTTGGTACCGCCTGCAGTGACTTCTCTCATTTGCCTGCCAATCCTCCACCAACATGCTGAAATGAGACGGCAAGCATGTACGTGCCAAAACCACGCCCAGGTGGCTCCAACTCACAGGGCCCTTCACCACTGCCAGGCACTGCCAGACTGCTCGTCCGATGGTCCATCGATTTCAAATGCGGCAGGTCGTCAAAGCAAGAGACATCCACACTCCAAGTACCCTGGGGTACTAGAAACGATACAGAATTCGACGCATGCGGCTTTTTAGATGCTCCCAGTTCCCAGACCTCCGCCTTGATCTTGTGTTCGTGGATTCTGGGCCGATCCCAATCAAGCCCAAACGCCCCATCCGGCCATCCGCAGCTCCGTGCCTCATCGGCCCACCGGATGCCATCCTCCTGGCACCGGACACGTCGGTCCGACACGACGGTCCGTCCCACGCGAGTGTCTCAAATTGAATCAAACATGTGTTCCCAGACACTCCATATATGTCATATATGCCTACATTGGGGTGGTTTGGGGGGTCGGTTGATTGGCATATATGGCATACATGGAGTGTCTGGGGTTGGAATAGCTGATGAACATGATTTGGTGAAGATTGACGTTCACATACGTTCGCACTAACATACATACGTTCACCGCGTGCTCATGTTGTGATTGTTTTAAACATAGAATCCAGTTGTTCACTATGTCAATGTGACTCTATATATCTCCACAGCAGATTAAACCATGAAATTGCACTTCCTCCCTCTTCTTCGACCCTGCTATAAAACCAATGCGTTCCTCCCGACGCCAGTCTCGTTGCTTAGCAACTTGTGGTTCCTCCAGCGGGACCGGGACGAGCGTTCCACATGGACCGTCAGAGACCGTCAAGCTTCGACCGTACCGTCGACCGGACCGTGAGCCCGATCTGAGCGATTTTTCTTCAGCCCAAAGCGAGTGGTGTGCCTTACATGATCTATAGTAGGGCTCCTGGCCCACCTCCGTTTCGAAGATGGTTGGGGTGGGTTCGGGGGGTCTAACCACCTTCTGAGGATATGGGACATGAACCCTACGTAGTTCGACTATCCCTACCCACCAAGAGAGGTTGAGAGACCATATAGGACCCTCTAGTGGTACATATGGGATGGGCGACAAAGGGCTGTTGAACCTCTCTTGGCAAACATAACAAATGGGACTGCAATCTTTGCCCACATTGAGGTATTTGATTATTTGGGGGGGTTAATGTATGCATTCCATCCATTTCCATCATGATGGAGTGTCTGGTACCCCAGGTATTCCAGGTCCTTCAGGCCACCTGGCTACCTCTGTTGGTTTGGCACCACCAAACGTGGCGACACAGCTGAAGCTCGGCGACTCGATCCTGGGAGGGCGCGCATTCGGCAAGGGCGAGGAGAGCGCTTCCGCAAGCGTTCCGGTGTTCGCCGGCGCCAGGTTCGCAGCGTTCAACGCCATGTGGAACGCCATGCGGAAAACGGAAGGTGCTGAAGCCGCGATCGAAAATGCGGCCCAGGTATGCCAAGGTGGAAGAAATCAGATCAGAAGTGCCACCAAATGCAAGATTTGAGAAGCAATTCAATACGCTCTTCAGGAAAACCAACATCAAACAACTGTTTGGGAACTAGTGCCTGGAAACTGGTTCTGCAACATCTGAGAAACTTAGTTGCTAAACGTTGATGGGTGTTCGACATTCATCAAACACAATTTGAAATGAAAGCGTTTGTGCAACTCATGTGCGGCACAGTGGATTGAGGTGGAGTCCATGCCCATGCTTTGAGGAAGGAGCCCCTTTTCTGCTTCGAGGCTTCAATCCTGCGATTCTTAAGCTGAATCAACTTCACCTGTGGGAACAGCTGGAAAGAAAAGAAACACCTGAACAGCGCTCAAAACCCCTGAACATAAAATGCCCGGGATCAAACAGTGAATTGCAAGGCTCGCTTCTGGGGCGAGTTTCTATATATATATATATGTTAATTTGTTTGATATGCATTGACATTCGCTTTTGCTATTCTCTCCTCGCTGTAGAGAAGCTCACATCCCTGAAGCTGTGCAGTCATCAGGCAATTGAAGGTGCTTTGTCAGTTTCTTTCTACGTTCTATGTTCCTCTCTTGTGCACTCCCTTCTGCTTCGTCAGTTTAGTCAGTTCCATTCTGCTTCTGCGCGACCGTCGAAGTGTCTAAGGCATGCAGCGCGAGCAGTGTGCAGAACTTCCACCAATATGTACAGTACTCAATGTACCTCTGATCGAAATGTTCTTCTTATGTGTGCTTCTGATTCGGTTTCGCGCATTTCTGTTCTGAATCTAACAAGTCCTTTTGAATGCAAGTGCACTGTATATATATATATATATACCATGCGTTCACCATCCAGCAGGGCGCAAGTCAGCACATTGCCAACCATGAGACAGGGTCCTATCAGAATTCAAGCAAACAATGCCCTACAAGTCCAAAGACCCAGTAAAACCTGGTCTAGACTACCTCCTTAAGATATTGGTTTTTGTATGTCCAGTATTTCATGAGGTCGACTTGTAGGGAATAGCGATGCCATAAAGCGCCGCGCTTCGCAAGCGAGGCGAAGCGTTCTCCGTTGCATAGCCGACGGGGGTCGCTGCTGCTGCTTGGATCTGGGCAATCACGTCCTGTCGAACGCTCAAAGAAAGTCGGAACACTTTCCAGAGGTTTTCAACCCTAGTTCGACGATCCCAGGAACCGGTACCCCAAATCAAACAAAAACACGGGTCCAAAACCACCAGGTCACTGGCGACCTCGGTAGATCGGAGACACTTCGGATTGAACGGTCGAACCCAACACCGTCCGTGCGGACCTCGACCGAGGTCGGTCCAACATGAGTTGGAAACCACGTACGTCCACATGGTACACAAGTGCCAACAGAGGTTAAGTGACCTTATAGGGCCCTACTGGGCTAGCTATAGGATAGTCTATAGGGTTCTTCAACCTCTGTTGGTGTGTTATGGTTCAAAATCCCCAAAATGGATGCTGTCTTGACTGTCTCATGTTTGGAAGCAGGAGTCTGGACAAATAAACACACATTGGAATGCGTAGGTCGTAATCGCAACGAATTCAAGAAATTGGTTTTGCGATGTTTTGAGATATACCTCTGTTCTGCATGTCTCTCACCAACTACCATGCTTCCATATCAAACCTCCAGCACCAGGGTGGACGGTGCATGGGCTGTGGATCTTGCTCCTCTGGACAGCTCACTGTGCTCGAGTTCCCAATGTAGACAAAACATGTGACAAATTGTGACAAGCATGAAAGAAAAGACCCCCCAACAAAAATGAAGAAAAACACTGCAAAGAGAGTTGAAACAAACAATACATTTCAGATTGGTACTTAAAGAACCGATCTCAAAACTACGCATGGGACTATCCCCCAGCAACAGGACACTGGTAGGACAACCAGTCCCTGGGTCACGGTGTTGTAGTTACACTAGGTGTCACGGTGTTGCCTTTCTGTGTCTCATTGTCTGTTGTCTTCTGCCTTTTTGATCCTGCTGTGTTGTCAAGTATTATGTGTGTGTTGTGGTTATGTTTGGTGTTATCGAGATTATAATTATAGTTACATATATATATAGTTGTCGGTAGCCCCATGCGCTGCGCACCGCGCAGCCTTTTTCCCACCTCGGGCCTTAATGTCCCTGGACGGTCGCCTGTTGACACTCCTAATCAACTCTTAAAAGTCCTCGTGATGGAGGATCCGGGAATCACATCCTGGCTTCCGCCGGTGCTCGAACCACGAATCTCAAGGTACGCAACCAAGTCCTTGAGAGCAGCGGAGCCGGACTGAGCATGGTTCAGGCACCAGGCACGGTACCCAGCCATTCCGTCGGCGGTTCCTTCGAACAGCTCAGAATACGACAAGGCTCCCTTGTACTTACCAAAAGCAATCATGCACTTTCCCCATTGCTCAAGGCTGGAAATGCCTGGTGGGTACTTGTCAGCTTCGGCGTACGGAGTGCCGGGCATCTTTGCTGTCGATGGCATCGGGGCAGCTGTGGCCAAGGCCATGGATCCACCGCTGTAAGTCGGAGCGGTTGAGCAAGGTTTCTCATCCCTCAAACGCTTGGCACCGTCGCTCATGGGGCCGGATTTCTCACCCAACCATGCTTCATCCAGAAGGATGTCTTCATAATCTCGAACTCGGCGCAGGATCTCGTCCCATACTCCACACTGGCGTGCTTTCAGCACAAGCTTGAAGCACTCTTCGGACTCTGCCTGGGTCATCTTCACGGTGGCACTAGCAGCTGACATGACGGTCGTCAGACAAGGTGCACTTAGTGGCAAACAGGAGAATCTCTTGTGACTGTCCGAGTCACTTGCTTGAATCCAAAACAACAGGGCAATTCAACAAACATCCATACGATCGAACGTGCTTATGCCGACTATCGTAGAAAGACTCGGAGTGATATTCAAGACTAAACCATGTTCTATACAACATAGACCCTCGGCTCGAACGGTGGTGGTGTGCTTCAATCACAGATCAAGTGCAACTGATTCCTACCCTACGCCTGACCTCACTCCTGAGTACTCATACTCAACCTGAGACTAAGACATCAAAAGCTCACGAATCAAACTAAACATCTTGACCTGTGTCTACATATGGTGGGTGACACTTAGCAGCGAACAGTTTTCTGCGATCTCTCTCTTGGGCTCTTCTCTGCAAGACCAGTTCTTCAGGACTGATCTGATACCGGCTCGACCGGAGCGACGCTCGGAGCAGGTCGAAAGCTTCTGGGCTCTCTTTCGTTAAGGCGTCGGCTAGCATTCTGTCTGTAGGAATCCACCGGAGAGTGGCCTTCATTCTCTGGATGCTATCCCTGAGGATGACTATGTCGATTGCAGTCCGTCGATCATCCAATGATGGTGCGGATGGTGACATGAGGTGATCATAGAGGGACTTACAGTCAGTAACTAGCAGGGTCAGTCTGTTACCTAAGCTACTCCGAAGGCTTTGTGACAACCTGGGGCCATCTATCGCCTCGGACAAAAGGAGATTCGCCCACTCCAGCATGCTTGATGCCGTGGACATGCTCTGGGCTTCAGCGCTCAAGGTCGAGCTCACGACCCGTGGAAGTCGTGCACTTTTCCAAAAGGCGGGGGACCAGCAACAATCTTTTCCTTCATTGATATCTTTATGAACAAAACTGATTACATACCCTGCTTGAGTCGCACCTGCCTTGGCGTTTGCAAAAGCAGCATCTGAGTGGCACATCAAGGCCAGGCTCTCCGGTTTGATGGGGCAGAAACGGATCACCTGTTCGGCATGCTGTTTTGCCCGTCGGATTGCCTGGTTGGCAGCAATGGCATCACCTATAGTGGGTTTTGGAAACGATTGCTGAGAAAATGAAACTTGAGTTGCCAAGTCAGGTCTCGTTTGATTTGCTAGCCAGTTTAGACTTCCGTTGATGGCCCTCAAACAGCTTACTTCTTTGTCATCTAAAGGCGCCTCTCGATCACGCGCCCGTTCTCGGCTGAGGTGCAAAGGACGGATCTTTTGGGTGAACTTCTCTTGACTCATGATGATTTCAAATGTGTTGGGATCCTGCGTATATTGGCTTCCACAAAAGTCGCCGGAACCCTGTCTCCATTTGCGAAACTCGAAAGTCTTTTGAAGTTCATGGATGGCTGCTTGGTATTTCGATCCCTCTCCCCCGGTCACACAGTCATCGACGTGAACACCATACACCCCAGTGAGCTTCTCGTTTTCACGAAAATAGAACAGGCATGCGTCGAAACGAGATCGTTCGAAACCAACTCTGAGCAGTTCTTGTTGTAGCTTCTTGTACCATGCCGATGGCGAGTCGTTCAGTCCGTAAACATGTCCAACAATCTCGATCAGCGCGTCTTCCGGCACTCCGGGGATACCCCCTCTTGGAAGGCTGGCAAAGAGTGGGCGGTATCTAGCGGGCAGGTCGCCTGCTGCCAGGAATGCCCCCTTAATATCCCCTAAGGCCATGGGCCAATGGTTTGATGCAATGAGCTGAAACAACATGTTTCGTCCTACTTGAGATAATGTCGGACTTTGAAGATCACCCTGCATGGCCTTTTCACTAAGATCTGGATCAAGGTGACCCTGCAAACACCAGCGAGCCTTCATTCTTGGGGCAGCATCGTCTTCCTGTTTGATAGTGATTACATATCGGCTACCCATGATTCGATGACTCATGTGTTTGCGGACGGCTTGAGCTTCCGGTCCGATCACAAGTCTCGCTGCATGCTTGGCTAAGATGGTGTTCCACTCTAGTAACTTAGCTTCGTCAATCTTGAGTTGAATCTCCCGGGGATGTCCTGTTGGAGGAAGTTCTTTGGAGGCCTTCTTCTTGAGATAGGCTGCAACCAACACATCAAACGAAGCCCCCTCTTTGTACATATCCACCAAATGATTCACATCTTGACGGGATAGGTCATGCTCCTTAGCATTATAGCATTGTGCTTGCAACACCTCAA